TTCTTTCTTTCTTTCTTTCTTTCTTTCTTTCTTTCTTTCTTTCTTTCCTTCTTTCTTTCCTTCTTTCCTTCCTTTCTTTCCTTTTGCATTCAGGTGAAAGGAAAACCATTGTGTCGTGCACCCAGATTGTTAACAAAACTATGATGTTGGTGAACAACAGCGCTTGCCAGCGGGCAACTCGTCCTGAGCCACAAGTCAGAAGGTGTAATGCCCATCCTTGCCAGTCCAGGTAAGAAGCTCATTGCAAAAATCAGAAATACTTTCCCCTTGGAATAGGTGTGTGGTGTCAGCCAAAAAAGCCAATCCTAAATTGCATTAACAGAGGGATTCAATCAAGATCAAGTGAGGTACTAATACCACTCTATAAAGCCTTAATAAGACCACACCTAGAGTAGTACTGCATCCAGCTTTGGTCACCATGCTATAAAAAAGATCTTGAGACTCTAGAAAGAGTGCAGAGAAGAGCAACCAGGATGATGAGGGGACTGGAGGCTGAAACATACGATGAACGATTGCAGGAACTGGGCATGGCTAGTCTAGTGAAGAGAAGGACCAGGGGAGACAGGATAGCAGTGTTGCAATATCTGAACGCCTGCCACAGAGAGGAAGGGATCAAGGTATTTTCTAAAGGACCCGATGGCCAGACAAGGAATAATGGATGGAAACTGATCAAGGAGAGATTCAACCTAGAAATAAGGAGAAACTTTCTGACAGTGAGAACAATCAACCAATGGAACAGAAGTTGCCTTCGGAAGTTGTTGGAGCTTCATCACTGGAGGCTTTCAAGAAGAGATTGGACTGCCATTTGTCAGAAAGGGTGTAGGATCTCCTGCTTGAGCAAGGGGGAGGTGGACTAGATGGCCTACAAGGACCCTTCCAACTCCGTTAAGCTGTAATCTAGGTAAAGGACGAAGGTCACCTTTGTGCCCCAAAAGAAACACTTATATTTGGGGTCTTCATGAACATCATTAGGTCTGTGGGTACCTATCTAGAAAAAATGAAATGACCTGGGGCTGAAAGAGACCCTCCTAGTGAGGTAAGAAAGGTGTTGGGAGCTAATCACCAATCTTCCTTCTAGCAAAGGCATTTGGAGATCACCAATACAAGACATTGTAACCATTTTATGAATAGACAAGCCCTATGCCCCATGGTAATTATTCAAGAGCGACATGCTTTCAGTTCCATTATTATTATGGTTGAGTGTGCATTCATCCAGATGTTCCTACTGGATTTGCCATTTTTCTGCATCAAGGACCTGGGATAGCCAGATGTTGTTTTATGATGCTCAAGGTACCTTCACAGGATGTAAGCTACTCCAAGCAAAGCTGCCTTTTGCAATTGACTGCTGGTGATTTTGTCAATGCCGACCGTGTTCAAGTGGTGCTCCAGAAGTTTTGGAATTACAACCAAGGGGCCTCTTACACCTATTAAATATCAGTAGAGTTTGAAGCACTGAAGAATAAGAGCCATTGGATAGAGACTTCTAACTGCTTTTAATACTTTCTAGTAATAGAAGTTTTGATTCATCAGCTGGTCAAACAATAACCAAAGTTGAGATAATTATGTTAAACGGGCTCCATCTTGGGTTTTTTTCTTCTTCTACCCAGTGACACTTTTTGTCTGCTAAGATGTTCATTTGCTATTTGGTCAGAAACAGAGTGAAGGATATGATCTTCACACTGATTGCGTCCCTTCATCTACAGGATAGACAATTAGAAGCTGTGCATAATGGAAGCCTTTTTTTTTCAACATCATAAAATAACTACTGGTCCACCCTTAGAAGCTAAGTGGACAAGTGCCCATAACCAAGGCAATCTTACTGACCTCTAAAATGTCTTTTGACGGAGCTTATGGTCACCTTAGAGGTCAGGCAACTAAGAGTGGCACTGTTTTTGATTCATGTGCTAGACGCACATAGCCAGACAATGGTTCAAATTGGCCACACCCTGCTCAGCATTTTCTCATTCCTTCCAGGTTGACCACACATTCACACTTCAGACGTTGCCAAATGGAAACATTTTCTGAAGCGCATTCCTTTCATCTTTATAGAATTTAAATTTCCTTTTCTGTTTGCCCACCCAGATATTAGAAATGCATGCTTGGCATATTCGTTGACCGAGAACATCTTAAAGAGACATTCTCTTTCACCATGGATAGAGGCTTTTTTTAAATAAAGAGATATATCTTCTTTTCAGAAGTTCTGAGTTTGTTTTCCAAGTTCAAGTGGAATTATTATAGGATTCCTAAAGTAAGTTCTTCTGTTTTTCACTTCATGCTCTGCCTTTTTCTGTATGAGTTGTAGGAAAGGAGAACAGGGATTATAATTTCTAGCCTGCTGTCTGACATTGTGATAGAGTTACAGAGTAAATCTGGGATGTTAAACATGATAGTCACCAGAAAGAGAGATCGGGGTTTACCCTTAAGATCTGAAACGTTTGTGTCTGACCCTTTGATATTCAATTCTTCAAAAGTTGTTATGATTTCTTTGATTATCCAGCTCTACAATTGCAATACGGATAATCCTCATTTAGCAACCAAAATTAGGATTGGCCATTCAGACGTTAATCAAAGCAAACACAGACATGGTGCTTATGGTCTTATTTCAGTTTTCCTTTGCTTTACCAACCTACAAAGGTTATAAATGCATGGGTTGATTGCAAAGTTACTTTTTCATCATCATTGTAACTGCAAGCATTCATTAAACAAGGCGGGTGCTAAATGGGATTGCTTCTAGTTGTCCTTTCCTGCAGTGTAAAAGTTCAAGTAGGAGAAAAAAAGTCCATAAAAGATTATACAGAGTTAAATACTTCATGCAAGATGTTGTGCAGAAATTTGCAATTGTATATTTCACTCAGTGTGCTTAGTTTTTAAATGCTGTTATTATTAAAGACATAGTTTTTAAGTGTTGCCATCATCCCCAGATACAACCATTTAAAATTAAAGCTCCTCTAACAATGGAAGTCCTACCTGTTTTTAGAGGTGCTTGGCTTTTAAGATTTAGATTAAGATTCTTTGGAGCAGAATCCCTCTTTTTATTTTTGTTAGTTTTTTATGAATTAAACATGTAAAGGTAGCTCTTCAGCGATTTTAGAGAATTTGTAAAGTGGATCTGGTGACGTATTGCTTGTATAATCCACATTTGTTGTCGGTGCTACTTCAGCTTGTATTCTTCATCCTCCTTTAGCTAATAATTTGTGGTTTCTTTATCCTAAATTTCACTAATAGTAAGATAATTATTTGGGACTTTCTGGGTACCAGACAAATGATATTCAGCAAGGCCAACTTTTGTGAAGCAAAGGAGCATGGAGAATAGAATCAAGATGAACAAATCCCTACTTAGTTCACATATGCTACTAAGCTATGGCTTGTTTGTCAACTAAACAAAAGTATTTGTTTTTGTGTGTGTGACATATGGTGCACACATGAACCGAAGAGATGAAGCTTGTACATTGACAGCACTGCTGCTTATGTCTGTTTGATGAAAGCATTGGATCCTATTTCCGTCTATCAACCAAATTCGTGATCTTTTACCACCATCTTTTGACCTCCTTTGACCCAGTTCATGTTTGGTGCTGTGTTTCCACACCATTGCTTTGCTTTTCCTTCAGCCCCTGCTGTCAAATTCAGCCATTCTGATGTCTTGCAAACCACTGTTTATAAGCTCTATGAAAGAAAAAAAGATGTTGAAACTCTGGAAAAAGTGCAGAGAAGAACAGGAAGGACAACTGGGGGAGTGGAGGCTAAAATATATGATGAACAGTTGCAGGAATTAGATATGTCTAGTTCAATAAAAAGAAGGACTAGGGGTGACATGATAGCAGTCTTCCAATATTTGAGGGGTTGCCACAAAGAAGAGGGAGTCAAATTATTCCCCAAAGCATGTGAAGGCAGGACAAGAAGTCCTGTGTGGAAACTAATCAAGGAGAGAAGCAAGCTAGAACTAAGGAGAAATTTCCTGACAGTTAGAACAATTAATCAGTGGAAGGTATAGGGTCTCCCGCTTGAGCAAGGGGTTGGACTAGAAGACCTCCAGGGTCCCTTCCAACTCTGATATTCTATAATTCTGAATTTGAGTAAACAATAATCATCCTGTTCCATTAGCAGCTTTGCAATGAGTTCTTGAAAGGAGCAGATCCCAAACCCTGCATTTCTCTCCCCATATTTTCAGAATTCCTGGCTCTTCTGGAGCCCATTTTCCCATCTTTTCTTACACACCACTGAACTGGAAAAAAAGTGGGGGAGTCTGTCTTTTTTTTTTTTCCCGGCTGCCTTTCTTTTCCCTTCCATCAAAGTCACAAACTACTTTTTCCTCTCTCTGGGCAGCTATAGATCTCCTTCAGCTACAATACCGCCATCGGCCCAAGTCTGCATAGCAACCTTCGTGTTCTTGAGGCATGACAATAAATTAAGCGATGCCGTTCTCTCCCCATCCCACCCATAGTGCTATACACCACCGCCACCCATCTGATTTGAGTTTGCAGCCAATCATGGTTAACCAAAGCCCTAAATTTTTATTGCTCCTGGGTTTAATTTTCTTTTAATTGGGTGGCTCACTACGGTCTTTGCCCATGCAAACCGTTCCTTGTAGCTTAATTCCTGTGCTGCTGGGTGTTTTAGAAGCAGGCCGAAGACAAAGATGACTTTGCTTTGTGGTGGAGGTGGCAGTGAGATTGCCAATCAGGTTGACAGGCTCAAACAACAATCTAGAATTTTAACTTCCCCAAAAGGGAGTGGTTTTTCATGCTTTATTTCATGCTCCCCCACATCTAGGGCTCTAACTGCTTTTTTTTGACATGAAGTTTTTCAAATCAGAGAGGAAAGCTGCCTTCAGAACAGATTTGCCCTAAGTACTTAATGGGTGCCATAACAGCATTTATCAGATGCATTCCTTTTCATCATAACTGTCAGTTAAGGCTTGCTTTGAGAAGTTCCAGCTTTATAGCTTAGATCTGTTAAGAGACTAGTGTATAGTGTCTGGGAAACCTGGAAGAGCAGATTGATGAAAAGTTGAAGAGCAATAGCAACAGCAATAGCATTTAGACTTATGTCCTGCTTCCCGGTGCTTTACAGCCCGCTCTTAAGCAGTTGACAGAGTCAGCCTCTTGCCCCCAACAATCTGGGTCCTCATTTTACTGACCTCAGAAGGATGGAAGGCTGAGTCCAGCTTGAGCCAGGACTGAACTGCCAAACTGCTGGCAGCAGTTTGAACTGCCAAACTGCTGGCAGCAGCCAGCAGTCAGCAGAAGTAGCCTGTAGTACCGCATTCTAAGCACTGCGCCACCACAGCTCATTGGTCCCTGTTCTAGGCTCTAGACATAGTCTACAACAGGGACCCCTCCCAAACTTTTCAACTCATTGACCCCTTCATAAAGTTTCAGATTATTAATCAGCCCCCAGGCATGTACAGTATTGTATGACAAGCATTTTGTAATCACTATTCTAACTAATAGTACTATAAACAATAATAGTAGTAATAGACAATTCAAGGTAACTCTTACTGATGGCTGACATCAGATCCTGGGTAACAGTCTCACTGTTAGCTCCTCAAGCTAATGGAGCTCTACAAAGACACCCAAAATTATCACCCCCAATCAACTTCCTATCGTTTATCGGCCACCTACTGACCCCCAGACATTTACTGTCCTCTTGGAGACTCAGATAACAGATAATCAGAGTTGGAAGGGACCTTGTAGGTTATCTAGTCCAACCCCCTGCCCAAGCAGGAGACCCTATATCATTTCTGACAGATAGTAGTCCAGTCTCTTCTTGAAAGTTTCAAGTGATGGCGCTCCCACAACTCCCGAGGGCAAGTTGTTCCATTGGTTGATTGTTTTCACTGTCAGAAAGTTTCTCCTTATCTCCAAGTTAAATCTCTCCTTGTTGAGTTTCCATCCATTGTTCCTTGTCTGGCCTTCAGGTGCTTTAGAAAATAGTTTGACCCCCCTCTTCTCTGTGACAATGCCTCAAATATTGGAACACTGCTATCATGTCTCCCCTGGTCCATCTCTTCATGAGACTAACCATGTCCTGCAACTGTTCTTCATATGTTTTCACCTCCAGTCCCCTCATCATCCTAGTTGCTCTTCTCTGTACTTTTTCTAGAGTCTCAACTTCTTTTTATAGTGTGGTGACCAAAACTGGATGCAGTACTCTAGGTGTGGTCTTACTAAGGCTTTATAAAGTGATATGAGTACCTCCCTTGATCTTGATTGCATCCCTCTGTTAATGCAACTTAGGATTGCATTGGCTTTTTTGGCTGCTGCTGCACACTGCTGGCTCATATTTAGCTGGTTGTCCACTAAGATTCCAAGATCCTTCTCACAGTTACTGCTATCAACCATTGGGGGTTGACCTTGTCCACTTCGGGGAACCCTAGTCTAGAACCGTAGATCACATTTAAATCATCCAAGGAGCAACCAGATGTTTTCAGAAGCATCTGATAATTGCAAAAAAAAAAAACATTGAATTAAATTTGTGTGTATTTGTAATAGAGCAGTGAAGCACTTCAGACTCAAAAGGCACTCAGAGTGGGGGACACTCAGGTAGCACCAGTGAATAATGCATTTACCCAACTGTATTTTTTCCCAGGATCACCCAGCTGCCCTTCGCAGCTGCCACACAATCCTGGGAAGAAGCACTTGATTTCAGAAGTTGTCAACGGATGCAACATGAGATTGAGGCATGCCCCCATGCCCTGCAGGTTCCCAACTGATGGGGCCTAATTCTGCTTTCAAAAAACCGAGCCCCCAAAATTGGATATGGGCAGATTTTGAGATCATGTAATTGCATAGTAAGACTGAGCATCACATCTGCCCTGTGATAAAGCAGAAACCGAATCTATATACTGCTAAAACTCTCATGTTTCTTTGTGTGTGAACCCCATTTAGAAATGGTTCGTCATTTTTGACCAAGGGACTTCACACAGGCTAACTTGTGTCCAAAATCCTAAACCTATGACTCCCATGGAATCTGGAATATTTAATAAAACATTTTACCCATTTTATCCATGTCATAAAATGTTTCCGATAGTCAAGTCTGGATATTTATTGATTCAGGACAGTCTGAATTATTAAGAACCTTTCCAATACATTAGAAGCTCTGCCATTGTTAAAGATGTCGAGGAATCTGATAAGCAAATAGCTCTGAAACAATGACCCAATGGGTCATGGGTTATCTAGTATCTCTTACTTTCAAGGATTGTGACGGTCCTGGCATTCTTTTCTTGATTGTTCGAACAGGTGGGTCACAGGACAGTGGAGTCCTTGCTCTTCAACTTGTGCCAAAGGCCTCCAGCATCGGGAAGTAACATGTGTCTATCAACTGCAGAATGGGAGCTATGTCAACACAAGAGATCTCTACTGCCTTGGTCCCAAGCCAGCAACAATACAGAGCTGCGAAGGCCGAGACTGCCTTTCCATCTGGGAAGCTTCAGAATGGTCTAAGGTATTCCCAGTCTGATAGAAGGAAGGGCAGATAATTGGGATATATGTAGCTAAATATTTGCTAAAGTTAATTAGTTCAGATTACACAAAGTGCAGGACCGTAACAACAGCAATAATATAAACAAATACAATAAATATGACCTTGTAGATGACCCCCACTCTGTCAAGGACCTTGGAGCTCTCATCTCTATTGATCTAAGTGCTAAAGTCCACTGTAACAACATAGCCAAAAAGGCATTAAGAGTTGTTAACCTAATCCTGCATAGCTTTTTCTCCAGTAACATTGTACTACTAACTAGACCATGCAAAACATTTGCTAGACCAATTGTCGAATACAGCTCAACTGTCTGGAACCCGCATTTCATATTGGATATTAATACAATCGAGAGAGTCCAGAGATATTTTACAAGAAGAGTCCTCCACTCCACTACTTGCAACAGAATACCCTATGCCACCAGACTTGAAAGTTTAGGCTTAGACAACCTAGAACTACACCGCCTTCGGTCCGACCTAAGCGTAGTATATACAATTATTCATTGCAATGTCCTACCCGCCAATGACTACTTCAGCTTCAATCACAACAATGCACAAGCACACAATAAATACAAATTCAAGGGAAACCGCACCAAATTCGATTGCAGGAAATACGACTTCAGCAACAGAGTGGTCAGTGCTTAGAATACACTATCTGACTCCATGGTTTCTTCTCCAAACCCCCAAAAAACTTTAACCTTAGACTGTCTACTGTTGACCTCATCCCTTTCCTAAGAGGTCTGTAAGGGGGCGTGCATAAGCGCACCAATGTGCCTACTGTCCCTGTCCTATTGTTTCTTTTTTATTCGTATCCATTTCATGTATTCATAATCATGCCTATACTTATATTGGTTATCTAACACATGCTTGACAAATAAAATAAATAAATAAATACATACATACATACATACATACATACATACATACATACATACATACATAAATAAATAAATGCCATTGCTCCTCTGGAGTACTGGGAGACGCAAGCTTTTGGGGACGTACAGTTTAGAGCCCTTCCAAGCTAGCCCATCTCAGAAGGTTAGCACCCCTCTGTTGTCCCTGTACAATGGGTCATTTGGCAGTTCGGTTTTTAGCCTTTGAGTCAAAGGTCCACCTTAAGTGCCTGTGGAGATTCTCCACCACCCAGGTTATGGTTGCCCCAAAGGTGCTTTTTCAAAAAAGGCATTTGGGGTTTCTTGGATTTTTCTTGGAAAAGATTTTGCTTCTCATCCAAGAAGCTTCTTCAATTCCAAAAGTGAAGAAGCTTCTTGGATGAGAAGCGCAACATTTTCAAAGTTTGTAAACAAAAACCCAAGAAACTCCAGTTTCCTTTTAGAAAAAAACACCTTTGGAACAAACACAACTGAACATTCAATAGGTCAGTTAAAATGCCGTGGCTTCCCACTGGGAATTGTGGACTTTGAGAGGAGGACACTAATTAAAAATCAAATAAATTAAATAAGCCTTCCAGCCAAAGTTTACATGTATGCTTTTGCACTACAAAGATAATTTTCATGAGGAGGTCATGAAATTAGATACTAGGCTTTCCATGGATGGATGGATAAGAGAGGGAGAGAAATTTAAAGTCATTTTTCCAGTTGTTCTGTAGTGTTTCAGAGCATGTTTGCTTGCAAGCTGGCTCATAAAACACTTGTCACTCATGCCCTGAACAGGGTCTGCAGTCACGTCTGCCTGGATTATGGCTTTTTAAAAACGTTTTCTTTTCTAAGAAAGATGGTGAGCTATGCATGTTGAGATCTGCCCTTCGCTGCAGTGATCATCATGCTAAGACATGCTTCTAAACTGGACTCCTCTAAATGGAGATGCTGTATTTGGCGCATGTTCAGAAAAGAACTCACAGAGATCTCCTATCTTCGTCTATTTATTCGGTCCATAGTCTGTTCGTCAGTGATCCATGGAAGGGTGGGGAGTGAAACATGATTTGTACAGAAAAAGAATATTGGGTCTTTTGATTAGGATTCCTTTACCAAATACCAATGATGACCCCTTGACAGTTCTTTAGAATTGGTTAAGAAAAAGGGATGTTCCAAAAACAGAAAGATGCTTTTGATTCCTGCAATGGATGAATGGCCGGAAAATGTAATGGAATTAGCAGAGATGGCTAAATTAACTGCTTTAGTCAGAGAAAAGAACACAGCTTTGTTTCTGCTTGGAAATTGCTTCTGGATGTTGTGCTTGAGATGTGGAAGAGGAAGGGAAACACTGACTTTGGGTTTTGTTAATAAGTTTGTTGTTTTAAAAAATGGCTAGTATGTATTAGTGTGTAAAAGTAAAAAAAAGTTGAGGCTGTAATGTTACTGTCTTATTCTATTGTGCTAAAAAGAATCAAAAGTCAATGTTTTTCTTTTCTTTCTCTTACCCTACATTTCTTTTCCTCCCATTTTCCTCCCCTATTTTCCCATTACTTCCATTTATTTTGTATTTTATATGCTGATATGCTTAATGAAATTATTACTTAAGAGATGTTGCCATTATGCAGAACAGGCTAACTTAAACTCCTGATGGCCATAGATCCCTAAGGGTTTACATCAGTGGTGGGATTCAAAAAAAATGTACTGTTGGTTCTGTGGGTGTGGCTTGGTGGGCGTGGTGTGGTGTGGTGTGGTGGGCGTGGTGTGAATTGGTGGGCATGGTGTGGCTTGGTGGACATAGCAGGGGAAGGATACTGCAAAATCCCATTCCCTCTCCACCCCACTAACCTGCTTTCCAGCTCCGTTCTCCTGTGCAGGGCAACCAAAGAAGACTCAGCCAATCAGCTGGGACTCAATGGGAGGCAGAGAAGAGATGGGGTTGGCAGGGCCAATCAGAGGTGGCATTTGCTGGTTTTCCGAACTACTCAAAATTTCCACTACTGGTTCTCCAGAACTGATCAGAACCTGCTGAATACCACCTCTGATTTACATCCAGTCTGGTTTATCCAACATGCTAAGTTTGAAAGAATTAAGTTTATAATCAGTTATGACCAAACTGAAACTAATAGTGTAAAGTTCTGCTTAATCTGAAAAATATATAATCTCAGTTCTTCTTCCAAAGAACACATGTGTGCAACAGATTTAAGATCAGCCCTGATGTGTTAAGTAGATATGTGCTACAATTGTACTGGGAAAAGCTCATTCTCTCCAAACACAATGCATAATCTTTTTATGCTTATCTAATTTAAGTAATCTTTTGATTTAAATTTAAATATAGTACAATCTGACATTAACATTAGTGTATATATTTTTTCCTGTGAAAAATCCATGAAGATTATTTTGAGACACATTTGGAAAATGTGGAACACTTTAAAACTGAAACGGCTTCAAATATTTCAAGCTCAATGCAACCAAATTTCAACGCCCTCTTTTGCAGTGTTCCTCTGATTGTGGAAGGGGAAAACAGAAGAGAAAAGTCATGTGTACCAACTCACAAGGAAAGTGTGACGCAGCCACAAGGCCGAGGGACGAAGAAGAGTGCGAAGATCATACAGGGTGCTATGAATGGAAAACCGGAGAATGGTCCAAGGTCAGACAATCTGCTATTTAAAAAAAAAATACAAAAATATAATTTGAAGCTGGTGCTTTGGATCAGTATGTCTTTTGAATATGATTTCATTCCAATTCTAGTTTGTAATTCCTGCATTAGTGTGAGGAACAGAAATACATTTGTTCATTTACATCTTGCTTTTCATAAGAATAAAGACCAATAACTAAATACATATTTTGCATGCAAACCAAATAGAATAAAAGCCACAATAGTTTTAATTTAGTTAACACACTAAGAATTAAAAATGATTATCAAGGGAAGGGAGGGAAGGGGGGAAGGAAGAAAAGGAAGGAAGGGGAAGGGAAGGGAAGAGAGGGAGGGAGAGAAGGAGAGGAAGGAAAAAGGAAGGAAGGAAGGAAGGAAGGAAGGAAGGAAGGAAGGAAGGAAGGAAGGGGAAGGGGAGAGCAGGGAAGGGAAGGGGAGAGAGGGAG